GCCTGGATCTGTTATTATCTCACTCTGAAGCACGGAGGAGTGTCACAGGTGAGCTCGTTTCAACTGATTTTTATGACTCTGTCTCATTTCGGGACTCAGGCATTTTGTGAATGAAGCCGATATTTCAGTTAAACTACATAAGTAAAAATATTTATCCCAGCATTGTACTACCCCCCAACTTTATGGATGAATTTATGTATTTAATTTTACGTATTATACTTGAATAAATATGGTAAGGTGTTTCTACCATAAAAGGTCATTAAAAGCTAACAAACCAGGCACAAACACAGGTGATAAAAAGTAAAATAGTTAAAATCCAAATATTTCAAGTGTTTTGTTGTTTTTATTTTTTTAAATCATGCATTTCTTTAACTGAAAAGAAACCAGTGCTTACCCACTCTGAGAATGGTGATGATTAGTTTGGAATTTGAGTGTTCAGAGTTCACAGGTGCAATGGTTTGAGGTGGATCCAAATGAGCTCGACCTTCCAGCTCTCACAGATTCATGAGGCAGAGATGTTAAAAGCCCTTCACCTGCCAAGGTGCATTAAATCATATCTGAGAGCTACTAGATCATTGCACAAGACACCAACACCACAGAACACCTTAATGTCAGAGGACCCCACAATATTAATTTTACTTTCACCCCACACTGCGGGGAAAATCAGTGGACAGAAACAAAGCATATGAACACAGAAATTARTASAAATAGTTTAGTTCTGTAAATATGTCTGAAAGGCTTGAATGTGCCCTGGATACYCATTCCACTCAAGTTTCCTGATTTAATATATTCATATTCTGAGCTCCTTCTCCCAGAGCAATCCAATAGAAAAACTCTTTACTCTGTTGACTAAGTTAATTAAGTTCAGAAAAAACTCCATGTTTCATAATCAAATCAATGCCGTGAATAATTTCAATCAAACCCACAACAAGTCCTCAAATTGAAGCAATCTCAATTTATTTGTATAATTTTCTGTAAAGTTTCTGGTGCTTTATATAAACTGTGGTAGATCGAAATTGTTTAGGGTTTTCTCTGTGAATCTGTGTACATGTTTTTGTTACCTAGTGTGGACAATTTTTGACCATTTTCCTGGTGCACACAGCTTGGTGAGGACCCACTGTTCCTTATGGGGACAAAAGCCCAGTCCCCATTGGGGGAAATACTGTTGGTGGTTCAGGGGTTTGGTTTAGGACTAATACGTGAATTGAGTTTAGGTTAGGTTTAAGGTTACCTGTGAGGTTAGGTTTAGAGTTCTCTAGGCGTTCACAGGTCAGCTGAGAAACATAGTCCCTCCAGCGTGTCCTGGGTCTTCCTCGGGGCCTCCTCCCAGTGGGACGTGTCCAGAACACCTCACCAGGGAGGAGTCCAGGAGGCATCCTAACCAGATGAACCACCTCAACTTGCTCCTCTGGACGTG